TTCTTCAACTAAAGTTTTCATATCCATTGTTAGGTGCTCTTTACATTTGGCTCTTTACATTAATCAAAAATGCTACATTCTTCCACGGTTAATTTTTTTTTTCCTTGAATTTAGAAATCGGATGTTGGTTAAAATTTTAAGTCGTTTCAATTGTTTAATTTTTAGAGATACTATAATCAGGAGAAATAATTTTAAATATATGGTGCGCCGTTTACAAAACGAAAAATTATCACTTTGAAATTTGAGTATAAATTGTAAAAAATTGTGCAACAATAAAATCAATCTTTTTTTTAACATTTTATTCTATATTTTCTCTTTTAAAATTGCATAGATCACCAAAACTGATATTTTTGGCAAGGAAAAGAGACAAATTGCTAACGTGTATAAGAAAACAATATAAATAAAAATGATCTTTAGAACTTTAAACTTTGTAATGCAATTTTGTGCAAAATTTTAATAAGGGGAAAAACCCATATCGAAGCAGAGTGAAAGCATGCATCATTCAAATACCTAGACATGGAGACGGATAATGCAATAAATGTAAAATAAACATGACAGAAATATCAAAAGTTAAAACACCAGTACAAAGTTTTTAAACGTTTTTCAGAGATGATCTAGTAAACCATATCATACAGCAGAGTGTAACTCACGGAGCTCCAAATAATCATCACCAGTTTACGCATTCTGAAGACTTCCAAAATCGTTTTGGAATTGTTATTGGTAACTGGATATTACTCTTTGTCTGAAGAGCAGACTTATTTGTCAGAAAAAGAAAACATAAATATTGCAATTGTATGAAAATGTCTGGCAAGTAATCATTATATTGAAATAAAAACTTACATTTTGGTGGCAATACAAATATACCTATAATAAATTAGAAAAAAGACATGCTATTCAAAATAAGACCAATTTTGGATGATCTAAGTGAAAAGTTAAGCTGTTGAGTATTTTTGTATAATTAGTGTATCGATGAACAATTCGTGAATTAAGACACAATAACACGCCGAATAAATACTAATTCAGAAGTCAACAACAAAAATCAGCGTTATATTTACCAAATTTTCACAAGACTAGTTTCGATGGTTTTACCGAACCACCATCTTCAGCTGCAAAACCGCAAATGAACCAGATAAGAAATAATGATTAGATAAGATAAGAAAGCCTGGACAAGAATAAGCAAGTGGCGCCATCTGTTGGTGAAACCAGAACTAAAACATAATTTCTTTAAAGGCCGAAGGCAAATTTGGATTGGAATTAGGATCGTTAACTAGAACAGAAAGATTTTTATGAATGTGAAATGTCTCTAGAAAATCCAGTTCTCCAATGGAAGATGTTTTTTGAATAATTTTGGCAGCAGAAAAACTGAAAGTGTGGTTTTCGGACCAACAATGTTGAGCAACAGAAGACTTCTGTGTTTCCTTTTTTCTAACATATGCCTCATGTTCCTTGAGGCGAAATTTTAAGGCTCTCTTAGTTTGGCCAATGTAAATTAAACCACACTGGCAAGGAATCCTATAAATACCCCAGGAATTCATATCCGGAATGGGGTCCTTGAGTATGGAACTCGGAATTTTATTGATGGGAGAATAAACAACCCGAAAGTTAAATTTCTGCAAAATATGTGCAACTTTATAGCTAATTGATGGAAAGAAGGGAATGACAACAGAAGTTTTATAATCTCCTAAACAAGAGTGTGCCTTTTAGTGTGTGTTGAGATGAGAATTTTTTAACTGCTTGATTAATAATGTTGGGTGGAAAAGCCCCTGTCAATAGCTATTGCTTTTAAATAATTTAGTTCTTCATCAAGGGCTAGTTTGGAGGAGCAAACTTGAAGAGCATGGAAAACATAGGAATAAAATGAAGCTAACTTTTGTTTAGTCGGATGACATGATTTAAAGTGTGGTGGAAGGCAAACCGATGAAGGTTTACGGTAAACCGTAGTACTGAAGTTGGATGTGTTACGTGTGACCAGAATGTCGAGAAACGGAAGAGAATTGCAAGTCTCAAGTTCAAAAGTGAACTGAATAGCAAGATCAATAGAATTCATTGTTGAAAGCACTTTATTTAAATCATCTTTATTACCTTCAAACAGGATAAAAGTATCGTCTACGTAGCGGAACCATGCCGGGAAGTTTAAAGTTTCAAACAATTTTGATTTATAATAATGCATGTAGATATCAGCTAGGATGGGACTGAGGGGGCTTCCCATGGCTAATCCCTCAGTTTGCTTGTAATATTTATTTTGGAAAACAAAATGGGTTTGTTTCAAACAGAGTTGAGTGAGAGAAATTAGCTCATCAATTTCGATGCAAGAGAAATGAAATTCGCGAAGTCTGGTTTCTAGACATCTTAATGCACCCTCCGCTGGGACATTGGTGAATAATGATTTTACATCAAAAGAAACCATGAGTAAATTACTAGGAGAAATGTTTTTAACTTTTTTTACCTCTATTGAATTTTTTATGGTGTAAATGTTATTGTCTAATAGAGTTGAAAATCTAGAAACTTCCATTGGAGAACTGGATTTTCTAGAGGCATTTCACATTCATAAAAAATCTTTCTGTTCTAGTTAACGATCCTAATTCCAATCCAAATTTGCCTTCGGCCTTTAAAGAAATTATGTTTTAGTTCTGGTTTCACCAACAGATGGCGCCACTTGCTTATTCTTGTCCAGGCTTTCTTATCTTATCTAATCATTATGTCCTATCTGGTTCATTTGCGGTTTTGCAGCTGAAGATGGTGGTTCGGTAAAACCATCGAAACTAGTCCTGTGAAAATTTGGTAAATATAACGCTGATTTTTGTTGTTTGACTTCTGAATTAGAATTCGTGAATTATTATGGTCACAATTTTTTGAAGCATTTTTTTAAAGGGAAGCCCATTCGCTTTGGTTTCAGGCAATGGGCAATATATTTTAATGTGTCTGGATATTGCTACAAAGCTGTAATGTATGAAGGCCAGCTAAACAGTAGTTCAAAAAAGATACGTATGGATTAGCCATGTCGGTGATATTGAATAAATTAGCAGCCATAGACAAAACGAAAGAAAACTGCCTTTATTTCAATAACTTTTTCACAAATTTTAATTAGTTGAAAAATCTAAAAGAGATAAGTATACCTGCAACAGGTGAGGTATACCAGGATGAATAAAGGCTCCACAAAATCAGATAAGGAAATAAAGAAAAATTTTATTTTTTGATTTTTATGGTTTTTGATTATTGATATGATGAAATAAATGGAATATTTGGCCTTGTTTAGAAACATAGAAACTATGTTAGGATGTTATCAAATCATTTGAAAATTTTGCCTTTGGGAATGTGCAAAGATGGTCTATAACTGAGAAAAATGAGGGATAATTCCGGAGCCTAATGCCATTACAAATTACAATGGTAATTACAAATCACAGTGGTGTGGAAAAGCTTTATTGGGCTATACAAAAGTATAGAATACAAATTAGAGGCGAGAAATAGTCCTTGCCAGTTTTTAATAATGCAATGGACATGGCCCCTAGTTAATTCTCATGCAATACACTGCATTGCTAATAAAAATGCCTGTATTAAATTTCAGAAACGTCGTTATGAGGTTCTAAATAATTTACATTTTCCGTTTAACCCGAGAAAGAGTAGGAGACCACCCTTAGTGCGAGTTCACGTAAACGCGTATCAGTAGATGTGAGAAAAGATTTTGAAGGACATTATTTAGAAATGGCATTACATGGAAAAGCGAGGAAATGTAGGTTTTGTGAAAAAATGCTCGAAAACAATGCGTAAAGTGTGATGAATAAATTGCACGCAGAATATGTTACCGCCTCACACTCGTAAGACAATTTCCTATATACAATTGTTTACATATAACGCACCGTGATCCGCATATGACCAGATTTTTATATCAATAAAAATCCTATTTATTTTCAGTAATGTAAAATTTAGAGCACTGTGTTTGTTTAAATGCAAAATAGGTATATTTGAAAAAAAAAATAAATAAATAAAAAGAAAACAAGTTAAAAAAATCTGGCCCTTAATGGGTGGGTTAAGTCGTATTTTCTCTCATCTAATACACGCCTTCGTGGTGTAACTGGATCTCACTTTCGGCTAAAATTCAGAAGATCCAGATATCGCGATCCGGTGAAGGCATTGCACATTTTTCACGTCTTCTAAATCGATAAACCTAATGACTCTACAAGTGACGCCGACAGGGGGTTCGAATTCCAGAACTTCCAATTGCTAGCAGGATGCGCTTTCCAGTTGCTACACAAAATCGCACATTGAGAGTAGAGGAAATATCTTACGAATTGCAAAATCAGTATGAAATATGATATTGAAAAGTGATATCAAATTATTGATGTGTTTCACTTCCTATTCGTTTAAGCTGTGTATAAACTTAGATCGGAAGAAGCAAAAACTGAAACTCTTAGATTTATGACTGTTTTCATTTGGTTCGAGTTTAATGCATTGCAATGAAAACGAAGCTGTTATTCATCCTTATAACATGAGATTTTTCTCTTAACTTTGTCTTCCAAATTGTAATAAGAATTTTGTCTATAAGCGTAACAATTTGAGACTTGTAAAAACATTTGAGCAGAAATTGTATACTTTTATGTGATGTTAAACCTTAGTAATATTCTTTCTGTAAAACATCATTAGCTTTATGTACATTAATAAACATAAAGAAACTATTATCTTTCAAGCATAGTCATGTGTATCACGTTATGGGGTTTCCTTAACAAATAGATATATTACTTATTATTACTGCCAACAACACTTTTCTAATTTTTGACAAAATTTTAATTATTTATTCCTATAAAATATAAAAAATAATGTAAACAAGAATAACTGAAATTTGCATTGTTTTATGGAGAAAATGCATTATTTCGAATGACAGTGTATTATGCCATTTTATTCCATTACACTTTGCAGAAAATTCAGTAATTGAAATTTTATATTCTGTGAGTACTTGATATTTATAATATGTTTGTATATAATGGCTTTACATATTTTTATAGGCCACAAATATGGACCTAATTCTGTCGAAAGGAAACATGCAGTTAAAGATGTCGATAACCTTTTAGATTTGGCACAGCAAAAAATGGCTACACGAGGATTGGACAATAAGGTATTTCATAAAGCACTCTTTGTCATAATGTTCTGCAGGTTGCCAAGCATTCGCCAGTTTTGCTAGAATGTAATGACTTAAAAATGATCGCTGAAACTGCAAGCCTGCATTCTGTTGCTTAGCAGAGAGCTTAAAATTTAAGTAAAAAACACACTATCGCACGATCATTACGAATACTCCAATCAGGTGAACAGACAATTAAATTCATTATGGATATATATATTTTGAAAGTAGTTATGACACGCATCAAAAGAGATATGCATAAGAATGCATCAAAAGATATTTAATTTAATTTAAAATTTAATTTTAATTTAAAAATTGTATAAATTTATACTATGAAAAGCTTTGTTTACTTTCGTTAGTGCAAGGCTATTCTAATACCGCACGTTAATATCTCCACTTTTGTATTTCTAATAATAGTATTTTGCGACCAGAATAAAACTTGCTGATATTAATATAAATTCCGTATCAGTAGAGATTCTCTCCTTTCAGTATTTTTAAAATGGAGAAGGGAAGAAAATATTTTCGTAGTTTTTTAGAAATCTCAAGAAGAGAAGTAGCGAACTTCATATGTACCCAAAGATGGGTTACCTAAATTCCGAACCATCTGGAGGATCAGTTGCAAGAACAGTGACAAGTAAACCTAGCAGAATGCACGATTTAGAAACACCACATTTTTTCGCAAAGGTTTTTTACTTATTTAAAAGTTTAATTCTATAAATGATGTATACTCTTTCCATCTATATCCTGAGCTTGCGAGGGAGACAAATACCTTGTTTTTCGATGGTGGTGTCCTAAATCTTCATAAGGAAGTTGTGTGTCAAATGCCATATTATTACTACTTCCACATTTATTAAAATTTTTAATTAAGGAACCTGTCTTTTATCAAATAGGCGTAACGATTGGAAAGCACTGAAATTCTACATCATTTCCAGCTCTAATTACTGAATTTGAATAAATCTAAATATGTATAATATGAGACAATTCCGGAGATTTGCATAGGAAAAAATAACGTGTGCAGTTTTCTACAGGTAATGACTTTAATAAACCAAAAAAGTAATTTTGCAACTGAACAATTAAAAAGAAATCAATGACTGAAACGCATTTACATAAACTGTTAAATCAAATCTTTTGAATATTGTAAATTTTAATTAAGGCGTTTGTCCTCAACTTTGGTATTGAAAAAAGGACTTCTGTTCGGCTTAATTAAAAGAGAGAAAGAAAATATTTTAAATAAATTGAGATGTGCAAGAAAAATAAATTTAATTAAATTAAGGCACCGCAATATAAACGATGAATGAGTTATGGAGAATCTAAGAGCCATTGCATATTTCGGAATTATTCATCATTTTCTTTAAGTATTCCTATTGCATTATTTAATTTATTTCCCTTTAATACGGACTTTTGTTTCTCTTAATTGATTATGACAAAAATATTAAGGATTGTATTACCTTATTTATGATAAAGTACACTAGCACTCTCTGTATAACAATAATAGGAATAATATAGGCTGTTTTATTCGATTTATGAATACACCGTAAAACAGTGTGTTAAATTTTTTTTGAAATTGTTTTACTGTCATCTTTAACGTTTTACTCAAAATTAACTTAAGGTAATATTATATATTTAACAAGTGACATCCGTTATGAAAGTGAAGTTACGGGACAAAATGAAAATTCTTGAATTTGTGTATCTTTAGGTTAATTTGGTGGTGGTGTCTGACCACGGTATGACATCTACTGACTCTAGAGGGCTAAATGTTATCAACCTACAACAGATTATAGATATTTCGGATATTCGTTACATGGTGTATTACGGAGCCACAAGCATGATACTTCCACATGAAGGCAAACTAGAGAAAGTAAGTATTTTTAACTTAATTGCGGTTTGTGCAAATAATTAGTTTCGTTGGTTAATACTAATAAAATTTAAACGGGGTGTTTTGCTAATAGAAAAAAAATTAGTGAATACAAGAGCAGCATGCCAGCGTGAATGTTAATATTTCGATAAACCCTTTGTTACCAGAGCCAAACAAAATGGAATTCTATTTCTGGTTGATGGTGATTTCTAGGGAATAAACTAAATTCCGTTAGGTGTTTAAAATATGTGACTGCTTTAGCAGATAGAATTTCCTGTACTCATTAACTGCTAGATGTCACTCAGGTTTCAATGAGTTCTTGAGAAAAACGAGCATAGGGATTTTGCTGAGAGACTGGGTTTTAAAGACGAAACTAGGTTATTTGGCTCTTTTCATATTTATCTAAAGCAAATTTAAATTTTAAAATTACTAATATTTTGGCAAAATTAATTTCTTTACGTTTTCACGTTCCTTGTTGTCTATTACCGGTTAAGTTAATTATTAAAAAAAATTCGTTAAATTTCCAAATATTCAAACAGTTAAAAACATGTTTTGATATTCCATTCTGAAAATTGGTTTTAATCTTATTCTTTAAATTAAATGTACCTTGGATGGGTAATTATGACAAAACAAAGACTGTCATTCGTAAATGTGAAAGTCTCTTTAATGTAAACTGATTCATATTTGTACAAATGAGGAAAAAATCTACGAATTTAATTGTGTGACCAATTCTTTACGTTTCATGAGTCAATCTAATCCTAGTGAAGTGAGCACTTTAGGTTGAATCCATAGACATAACACTTTTTATTACTGTTAAATATGCATAAATATCCTGTTATATATCAGAATGTTAAACAGATGTGTTATTTTGTTGCTAATTTAGATATCTATGCATTGATTTTAAGCTATTTTCGTTTAAGGTTATTTCTATATAGTTAAGCTATTTTCGTTTAAGGTTGTTTCTAATAGTTATGTTAATGTTATATTGTTAAATTTTTTGTTTTGTTTTGTAACCTTTCGTTATTTCTATTTTCTAAATCTGAAAAATAATTTTCGAGTATGCTACTGTTTGTAACATTTTACTTTTTCTATTTTTACTTCGAAACATGCTTTTTGATTTACTTTTACCATCATGTAGGTTAAACTAATTATGCTTACCTAATTTCGTTTTTCTTTCTCTGAATCTTTCTTGAGATTTCGAGCATCTCTTGATATATGTCGAATAAACTCCTATCATAGATATATTAATTTTCTGGCAAATGTAATTTAAATTTTGTCGTTAGCATAAATTTACTGTAATCAAACTCAGTTCTCTGATATCAATCATATGCTGTTATTAAATGAAACTACATTTACATAACCAAATTGATTTTGTTCTTCCTTTTCTATTCCGCATGCGACTGAGAATTATTATTTTTACCAACATGTGCACTTTTGAATTAAATTAGAACGCATATTCTAATACTTCAATCATTCTCAAGAAATTCCAGAACTTATTCTTAAATATAGTTTTATATTAAAAGATGTTTGGTAAAAAAAAATCTACATTATTTGATGAAAATATTTCTTATTGTAGAAAAATAAAATTTTCGAGTTATGCGAAAGCTGCTTTTAAATGAGTTTCGAAGACCTTGGAAATAAAACTTAAGACGAAGAATATACAGATGGGTAAATAAAATAACTGAAATGTTATTGTTATTTCTCACCACGCAGGCGACGTCTTGATTAAAGTAAATGCTATAAGTAGTAAAATATGTGTTGTATGATATAAGTGGCCGTATATCTATTTCACAGAAACTGTGGGCCCCTAAGCAAAAACTAAAATAAGTATATACATATTTAAATCGGGAAAAACACATGCAAAAAAAATATTCGGTGACTGTTAAAATCTGAAACTAATATTATACTAATGCTAATATATAACTATACTATTCTATTTAAATTTTGTGTTAAGTAGTTAGTTATTTTAATATAAGTACTTTACGTAAATAGTAACGATATTTTATTAATAAAATTTGTGAGTGTAAAAGTAAAAAAAAAAAAAAAAAAAGCTGAAAGAATTTATATTTTGAATTACGTTCAAAGGGGTGTTTTTTTAACGTTTTGCGTTTACCTTAAGTATCATGTTCTTCGCACTTAAACGATAAAATTCAGTTCAATAGCAATATCGCAAAATAATTTTAAAATGAGCAAATTTTTAGAATTTCCTATACACAGTCCCGCGAGCTGGAGATAAAAAGGTATTTTTCCCCATAGATTGTTGCTATTTATTGCTTTTAAATTGTTTAGTTATCAAAAATTCGTTAAAGTTTTACAAAATATGAGATTTTTACGTGTAATAAAAGAAAGAGTCTGTGTGTCTTTCATTCGTGCTACGCGTAAGCTAATAAATCCAGGGCCAGGAAATTTGGTATATAGGTGCATCTAGACAAGAGCCAGTGCACCTCGCAATTTTTCAAAATTCGAATCAGTTTTTTTTTATTTCATCTTTTCGATTTTATCGCATCATTTTGAATAGTTTCATTCTTTGAGAAATTTAGTTTTGGCAACAGTTTTTCATTCAATTGCATGCTGAACTGCTGACAGTTGAAAATCAGCACTGTTGCCCACTTGGAAAAATGAGGGCTATTCGTATTAAGGGATATTGCATTGTAAGGTTTGTTATGAAGTTTATGAAGTTGTTTTGCAGAGTAAAATTCTGCACAGTTTTTAAATTTAACGTTAGGTGTTCCCTCCAGGTATTTTCCCGGTACATTTAAAAGCCTGACAAAGGCTAGCCGTGTAGCTGCTAGTAGATAATAAAACAAATTGAAAATTCAAAATGTGGGCTTCCAGATGCCCATATTCGGGTGTAAACATACCTTATTCAAAATTGGATGACTCTAGGTACCGTTGTTTCATCACAATGCGAGAAACATCATACATACATCTATGCATGTTTCATCACAATGCGAGAAACATACATACATACATCTATGCAGATTATTCATTATTTAATTTCTTTAAATATAATACAGGGGGATAATATTTGGTGACAACAATTTGAAAAGTGAAAGTGAATGGGACATTTATAGCGAACCAACGCAAACTGCCAAAACGAAATTAATAGTCCTTCGGGGCAAATTAACCCTTTGGACTAAAAAAAAATTGCTTCTGAACCAACAAAGATACAAATGAAGGTTTAAAATTTGCAGTGAACGATTTTTTACATCAGCTAAACGGCTAATTTCATTTTTTTGAGTGGGCCCACCAACGTCCGAGTGGTAAAATCGCTGAAAACTGGTAGTTCGGTCCGAGGTTCGAATCCCGCGAATGGGATGGCTGCATGGGTGTTTTCGTGATTTTCTCCATGTGTAACGTGTATACGAGTCAGTTTCCCTTAGAAAGTCCTCCACGAAGGCATCCGTCCCCTTAGGCAGATAGCCCTCGTGGGATTTGCCATAATTAAATACACCAACACACCATTTTCTTTTTTCTTCCTTTACCTTCGCATATTTTGACCTCGTGTTTTTCAGTTTGGCATTGTACTTCTGTTCTTTTTAATGTAATTCTGTTCTGTTTCTGTTTCCTGATTAGATATGGGATGAAATTCAAACGTGTTTTTAATTTTATTTTATTCTGCATTATTACCACCATTTTTGCTCCTATCAGCACGCAGTTGGGTTAGGTTTAGAACTTTATTTTGTATTTATTCATTTACATATGCTTATGTAAAAAATGTCATATTAGCATAGATAATTATAAAATGAAAATCCATTTTAATCAAATAATTGAGTTAATTGCGTTTAATGTTTGTAAGCAGTTCAAGACTATTTTAATAATAAGCAAATTCTGTTAGCAACACAGCCACACAGAAACTTTCTTAATAAACATAACTAAGTGAAAAGAAGAAAAAATACTAAGTCAATTCACAGTAATAAATGTATTTATGAAATACATAATGAGAGTTGTAGTGTGCTTAACTTTTGTAGAGGCAGGAGATAGGTAACTATGGTAAAACTATGGAGTACACTAATGATGTACCACAGAATCAACTGGTACTTTCCCATATTAACTATCTCTGAGTGTTTTTTAACTTTTTGCAAGACCAATAAGAGCTTATAAAAAGTGTTCAGTTCTGCCGATGAGAACATCTGAAGCTTTCCAAAGGCTCTAGAGCAGTGGTATTCAGACTATGGATCGTGACACCATCTGGGGCTGCGAAACGTTACATTGGGTCGCAAAATGCATAAAAATCATCTGTGGGTCGCGAGACTTGCAGTAGGGGTCGCCAAAAATTTGAGCAGTTTTGATATATCCTTAACTTATTATAATAATTTTACAATTACCAAATATTTTTACACAATGTGTCTGAAAATAGATAGATAAGACAAATAGAGAGAAATCAAAAAACGAAAAGTTTCGACGCATTCTTTTTATAATATAAACGTTCATTTTTCTTGCTTTGCACGTGACGCTGTCATTTCGTCTGTTACTTATTTAAAATTTTCTCGTTGTTCTATGTCTTAAAATTAGAAACTAAAGTTAATGGCCTAAAACTGCAATAGTATATTACAGTAAAAGTGAAAAAATTGACAGTTTCACTCACGCGTGTGTCGGATTTCCGCAATACTTCGTACAAATTTTTTTTAAAGTATTATGGGGTCCTGGTGGTCGTGAAAAGATCTCAGTGATAAAAGGGGGTCGCGACTGGTAAAAGGTTAAGAAACCCTGATCTGTATAACTGATCTATATAACTGATAGTTATATATAACTGATGAGTGGGAGGTTAGGCATTTAAGAGAAAACATTTTGCAGGGTCCTGGATCCTGGATCCTGGTATCCCAGCTACTAACTTAACTTATGTTAATTAATGCTTAATAAATGGATTTCAATTGTAAATTTTTGTTTATGTTTAACTTAGTAGTTGTCTATTATGTTCCCATGTGATCCGTAGTAAAAACATGGATCTGCAAATTGAACCTGGGCCACTTATTGCAGTTTGCTTTGGGAATTAACTAATT